AGTCTTGTATGTAAATTGTAGTTGCCCCCGATGCAGTTATAAATAGCGAGTCGGGGAGAAAGATATGAGAGCGAATTGTTGGCTTATGTGCGTACTAATGAGACTGAGAGAATAAGAGGTCAGTAGCAACAGCTCGGTTGGTAGACCAGAGGACTGGATGAAAGCAAGCACTTTAATCCATTTCAGTCATCACAAACGACGGGCTAACCGAATTACCCACAAGCTATTTCGGTAGTACTTTGACAATTATGGACCGGTTCAATTTGAAATTAATGCCGGAATTTGATGGCTCCCCCACTTGTCTGTCTATTGTTGAGTGGCTTTGAGAAGGTGGAGCGTGTCTGCAAACTGTGCAAAATCAAGGATCCTGCATTAGTTATCCCGTTGAGGTTAACAGGAGGCGCTTACGCAGTCTACCAGCAACTCGGGGATGAAGCGGACTTGAATGAAATTAAGTATGCTCTTTACACAGCATTTGGCATGGATGAGTCCATTGCTTGGAGGCAATTTATTGGTTGGCGACTCCTCCTCAGGGAGACAGTTGATGTGTATCTGGCCAATCTAAGAAAGTTGTTGGTACCATTTGGGGGCGTTAACAACTGGATACTGGCATGTGCATTTTTGGAAGGTCTACCTACTGATGTCAGCCAGCTTCTGCGAGCATCATCAAAGCTGGGGGAGATGGGTATCGGCCAGTTACTGACTGGAGCTTCAACCTTTTTGAAGGAGTTGGGGCATGTCTCAGCAGCTGCACGGACAGAGGAGGTCATGTGTAAATCAGAGGAGAATGCTGCAGGTGACTCGTGTTTCCATGGCTCAGAAAAATTTAAATGCTACAAGTGTGGTGCTCCCAACCACTTCTCCCGTGAGTGCAGGAGTCGAAGTAATACGGAGTGGTAATCTTAGCAAAGCATGTTGCTATTGCTGTAACAATCTGGGCCATCTAGTGTGGAAGTGTCTGGAAAACAAGCTCGGGGGGCGGACTGTCACCACCACCCCCCTGTCAATTGAAGTAAGTCTTGGATTTGCCCATAGTCAGGGTACATGTAAATGGCATGCAATGTTTGGCTCTCATTGACATGGGATGTTCCTGTTCAATAATCAGTACAAACTGCTGTCAGGCCTGGAAAGATCGACATGTGATGATTAGGACTTGATGGGACGTCCCATGTGTGCTGTGGAGTTGGAGTGATTTCAATCCTAACAAATGGAGGTGATTGTGCCGAGGTGGATGCACTGGTGGTTTGTGACAATCCTCTGGGGTACGATTTGCTGATCAGAATCAATGCCATACGGAAACTAGGCAGTGTTATGGTTATGCGTACTGGGGAAGTGCAGCTCAGGAGAAATTGACTCATGTCCCACCATTACAATTGAGGAACGGGATTTCTGTATCGCATATGACCAAGGAACAAAGACTTGGACAGTGGAATAGAAGTGGACAGGAAATAAAGCACCATATCAATTGCAGAATATACAGTGTCGAATAAGAAAGAGCTGTCTACGAGAGTGAACTGGGGACGTGGATCGCAAATGGCTAGCTGATACCATATCCACAAGACTGATTGGGACCCCCAAGAGGATTAATCCCCTTAATGGCAGTTGCACAAACCACCAAGGCTAAGGTATGGCCAGTGATGGACTATAGGGAGATAAATCAATACATAGATGTCTTTACGGCTGATGCAGACGGGTTGGTTCTGTGCAGCCACAGGAATGATAAAAAGATGAGCAAGCATGAAAACATGAGTGGCATGACACTATAAAAGACACCCCTTTTATGCAGATGATCATTTAAATACTGACTATAGTGCATTAAATTGACTCCGTTCAGGGAGATTGGTGCGTGACTGGAGAAGAAGTCAATGCATGGGTTGATGCAAGCTCACTGGCAACAGATGTGATGCTGGAAAACCGAGGAGTTATACTAGAAGATGCATGCTGACTTCGACCAAGAAATGATGCGCAACATATAAACCTGGCTGAATTGGATGCTGTGTTGAAATGTATAAATCTGGCATTACAGTGGCGAGCCAAGGTGGTACACCTATACACAGACTTGGTATGCATGTACCAGTGGCTGCAGAATATTCTGACAGGCCTGAGTGAGGACGAAAGCTGCAAGTGAGATGCTAGTGCACAGGAGACTGGGTAATATACAGTAGCTAATCGAAGAATATGGTTTGGTAGTTGACGTCACGGAGGATCCTGGCCAATATGTTGACTAAAATGCCAAAAAGATGGCTTGACATATTGAAACAGGGACCAGAGCCACCGACGTGCATGGCTGTTACGAGCCAGATGACCATCAAACAAATCCGCACCATACATAGCAAGAGTGGTCATCCTGGCATTCAACGTTCAACTTACTTCATCCAGAAAGTATGTGCTGCAGTGACAAAAGCAATGGTTAGGTCGGCTGTACAAGGTTTCAAGGAATACTATGTTGTGGACCCTGCCCCAGTCCAGTGGAACAAGGGCAATCTCGGGGTAGACAAAAACTTGGTGGCAACTGGGCATAGATGTAACAAATCACAATGGCAATCATTTTCTAACTTTGATGGATTGCGGCCCGATGCATTTCACTGTATGGCGCCCACTGGTGTGACGAGATGCATTATCGATTATGCAACAATTACAAGCTATCTTCTATGAACGTGGTCCCCCTGTTGAAATATTGACAGACAATGCTCCAACTTTCTGTAGCGGAGATTTTCAGGACTTCGCCATCGAATGGGGAGTGCAAGTAAGGTACAGAGGTGCATACACTCCAGAGGGTAACAGGATAGCGGAGCGGTGTTACCACACCGTTAAAAGGATAGCAGCCAGAACACGGTGGTCCATTCAAGAAGCTGTATTGGTACAACATCATGCCCAAAGATGATGTAACACCATCAACTGCACCAGCCAACGGATTTATACATGCAGACAGCTGATAAAGGGGATAAATCAAGTAATGCCAAACATTCCAAAGAATACCAAAGAACAATATAAAATTGGTGATCCTGTATGGGTCAAGCCCCCAAATGGACGTTGTACCACTAGATTTAGTAGAGGACAAGTTGGAGTTATTAGCTCCCAAACAGTCTGGGTCAATGGTGTGCCACACCATGTGAAAATTTTTCACCCACAATGCGAGTTAACCACCTCAGAAGAAGAGCATCACAGCAAAGATATGTTGTCTGATAGTGATCGAGAGACAATAATGTTTTGCACAATGCAGTCAGGTGGTCTGCCCCTTGTATCGGAGAGTACAGATTTGGACAACGAGCAAGGCCATGATGACACCGAAAATGCCAAGGACCTGCAGAGCGTAGACGTGGCAGTACTGCCACTGGAAGCATTCCCTCCACTTCTATGAAGGAGTGTTTGTCGAAGGCGTTCTCTAAAATCATCTATGTGATCATGATATTAGGGGGGAGTGTGAAGAACAAGAAGACTTACCTCCCGCAAAGTGAATTTGCTTGGTGTGTCAGGTCCTATTGAAAGATTACGACTGGCATTAAAAGAGAAATGGATTATTCTGAAATTCCCATGTCGTGGGCAGATGTACAAGGGGAAAAAATAAAAACTACTAAGAATTCATACCATCTTGAATTTATAAAATCGGAAGTCTCTGGCGAATGAGAAGTAAGTCTTTTGTATGCAAATTTTAGTTGCTCCCGGAAGGAAGATGAAAGCGAATTGTTGGCATGACGGCGTACGTGCATACTAACTAGACTGAGAAAATAAGAGGTCACTAGCAACAGCTCTGTTGGTAGACCGGAGGACTGGATGAAAGCAAGCACTTTAATCCATTTCAGTTATCACAAACGACGGGCGAACTGAATTACCCACATTCAACTTGGAAATGATTTAACAGACAACAGAAAAGGTAGTGCAGAAATCTTTTTCCAAGTCTAAACATTTGGAAACTGGGAAATTTTATTTCAAATGAAAAAAAGAGTGCTGAAATATATATAGTATGTCATTCAAAGGACACATTGAAAACAAGAGGGATAATAAAAAGACAAATAGTACTAACAGCTACAAAGGATAGGATGTTATGGAGAGTCATGATCATCCACATCCTGAACGGACACAGAATGAAAAAGAATAATAATACGATGAAAACTTTTTTTTGATGCTATGAGTTAGTGTTGAAAAATAAAGCAATTTAGCAGCACAGGATATATCTAGTGATTTACTAAGCATAGCTTGATGTGGCACAAGGCTGAAAGTATGGTGCACCCAGTGATGGCTGAACTAACTACTTGGTTATAATTGGTTTTGTGAGACAAGCTTGCTAACCATTACACTGTCAAAGTTTCATGGAATGCATGTCTAAACTGAGATTGACACCACTTCCATTTCTTAGAAAATTTCAGGAAATAACTCTGTGCTAGACTTGGCCTAACAATTATAATTTTCTAATTGTCATTCATATCATGGATACTCCTATTTTATTACTTTTCAATCGACAATATTCAGATAATGGGGATTTTATTTTACTTATATATCTCAGATTTGCCTTGTTTATTACTACTAATTTTGTTATAAAGACAGTTTTAGTATATGGCTTCTATTTCAATTTTCAGTATTTAATTCCTTTGTTACATACTGGATATTAAATAAATAAATGCTTGTCTATAAGCATCAAGCTGGTTGAATAGGGAAAGTCCTAGCTTTCTGGTCAATTAAAAGACTTTATGAAAGTGGCTATCTATAAATTTTATGGGATAAAATGAATTACCTATGCTTCTGGCATATCATTGTCATCTGAAAAATTGAGTGTATTAAGCATTTGAGCAAATGTATATTTTGATTTTTTAAAAGTGAATTGAGCATTCGAAAGTAAAGTGGTAGAAGTTTGTTAGACAATCATTTATGAAGATAATCTTCAAAGGTTACTGTTTTAGTATTAGCTAAGAATTATTTGTTAATTATTCAATTAATGTTTTCACTTTAAAATTAATGTAAAATGTTTGTTTTGCATGTTAATTTTTCACTTTAATTTTCAGTTATTATTCAAATTTAATTTTTTTTTTCTTTTCTTTTCTTTTTTTCTTTTTCTTTCTTTTTCCATTTCTTTTCTTTTTCCATTTCTTTTCTTTTTCCATTTCTTTTCTTTTTCCATTTCTTTTCTTTTCATTTCTTTTCTTTTTCCATTTCTTTCTTTTTTTTTCTTTTCCATTTCTTTTCATTTTTTTTTTCATTTTTTCTTTTTTCCATTTCTTTTCTTTTTCCATTTCTTTTCTTTTTCCATTTCTTTTCTTTTTCCATTTCTTTTCTTTTTCCATTTCTTTTCTTTTTCCATTTCTTTTCTTTTTCCATTTCTTTTCTTTTTCCATTTTTTCTTTTTCTTTTCTTTTTCCTTTTCTTTTCTTTTTCCTTTTCTTTTTTTTCCTTTTCCATTTTTTCTTTTTCTTTTTTTCTTTTTCTTTTTCATTTTTTCCATTTCTTTTCTTTTTCTTTTTTTTTTTTTTTTCCTTTTCCTTTTTTTTTTTTCTTTTCTTTTTCCTTTTCTTTTCTTTTCTTTTTTCCTTTTCTTTTCTTTTCCTTTTCCTTTTTTTTCCTTTTCTTTTTCTTTTTTTTCCTTTTCTTTCCCTTTTCCTTTTCTTTTCTTTCTTTTTTTTCCTTTTCTCTTCTTTTTTTCTTTTCTTTTTCTTTTTTTTTCTTTTCTTTTCTTTTTTTCTTTTTCTTTTTTTTCTTTTCTTTTCTTTTTCTTTTCTTTTCTTTTTTTCTTTTTTCCTTTTCTTTTCTTTTTCTTTTCTTTTCTTTTCTTTCTTTTCTTTTTCTTTTCTTTTCTTTTTTTTCTTTTCTCTTCTTTTCTTTTTCTTTTCTTTTTTTTCTTTTCTCTTCTTTTTCTTTTCTTTTCTTTTCCTTTTCTTTTCTTTTTTCCTTTTCTTTTCTTTTCTTTTTTTTCTTTTTCTTTTTTTTTCTTTTTCTTTTTTTTTTTCTTTTCTCTTTTTTTTCTTTTCTCTTCTTTTCTTTTCTTTTTCTTTTCTTTTTTTCCTTTTCTTTCTTTTCTTTTTCTTTTTTTTCTTTTCTTTTCTTTTCTCTTCTTTTTCTTTTTTTCTTTTTTTCTTTTCTTTTCTTTTCCTTTTCTTTTTTTCTTTTTCTTTTTTTCTTTTCTCTTTTCTTTTTCTTTTCTTTTTCTTTCTTTTTTTTCTTTTCTTTTCTTTTTTTCTTTTCTTTTTCCTTTTCTCTTCTTTTTCTTTTCTCTTCTTTTCCTTTTCTTTTCTTTTTTCCTTTTCTTTTCTTTTCTCTTTTTTCTTTTTTCTTTTTCTTTTCTTTTTTCTTCTCTTCTTTTCTTTTCTTTTCTTTTTCTTTTCTTTTTTCTTTTTTTTCCTTTTCTTTTCTTTTCCTTTTCTTTTCTTTTTTCCTCTTTTCTTTTTTTCTTTTTTCTTTTCTTTTCCTTTCTTTTCTTTTCTTTTCTTTTCTTTTCCTTTTCTTTTCTTTTTCTTTTCTTTTCTTTTCTCTTTTCTTTTTCTTTTTTTTTCTTTTCTTTTCTTTTCTTTTCTTTTCTCTTTTCTTTCTTTTCTTTTTCTTTTCTTTCTTTTCTTTTCTTTTCCTTTTCTTTCTTTTTCTTTTCTTTTTTTTTCTCTTTTCTTTTTTTTTTTCCTTTTCTTTTTCCTTTTCTTTTTTCTTTTCTTTTTTCTTTTCTTTTTTTCTTTGTTTGCAACTGGTTTGGTAATTCATGTATAGAATATTATTGATCAAAATAAGTGCCTATAGAAACAGTTTTTTTTTTTTTTTTTTTTTAATAAATGCATATGTCTTTTAATGTATGTTTTAAACACTTCACTTTCAGTCCATAGCTGATATTATTCGAACATGTCTTGGTCCAAGGTCTATGTTGAAGGTGAGCAGATTACTTTGATTTCTCATATACCTCAGTTAAAACTTGGAGAAAAGGAATTTTTTTTCCTGTATGCAAATTTTAACTCTTCAAACTTTGACTTGCTATACAATTTTCAAAGAAAGGCATCATATTCTCATTTAATTATGTTTTATAGTTTTTTGCATTAACTCTGAAATCTTCTATAGTATTTTAGACAGGTATACTTGAGTTATTAGATTAGGATGTGAAATTTTTAGATTTGTTAAAAAGCTGGGTTTATTGTTTTGAAAATATTCTGTTTCTCTCTGAAAATGTATGTTTTATAATATTTCCAATGTGATTGTTATTTTTTCTTAGATGTTGATGGATCCAATGGGAGGAATTGTCATGACCAATGATGGAAATGCCATTCTTCGAGAGGTAACAAACTTCAGTAGGACTGCATTTTGCAGTTTTTATTTGTACTGCAGTTTTTTTTTGTTTTTTTTTTCTTAAATAATTGAGTATTGAATTTTTCTCTCTCTCCTAATTAGCAAATGAAATATTTTTTATTTACCAAGTAAAATATTGCTGAAAATTTTTTGGCTTTAGTCATGAATATTCAGTATAATAATAACATTGATAATGTATTGAAATTTTTCTTTTCAGATAACTGTGCAGCATCCTGCTGCCAAATCCATCATTGAAGTAGCTCGTACTCAAGATGAAGAAGTTGGAGATGGAACCACCTCTGTTATTATCCTCAGTCAGTTATTAATACCTTTTGATTCCATTTTTGGCAAACATAATTTGATAATGTTAGACAATTTTTAATGCACATCAGACATTGAAGAATTAAATTTACTATTTAATGAGTAAAAATGTATGGAATAGCCAATTTCAATAATTTTATTTGCAATCAGTAACATAAATTTCTAATGTGTTGCTTTTTCATCTGATAACAAGTCATCAGATTTCATAGCAATAATAAAAAGCATTATGAAATTTTATACTCATGTGAATATTTTTACTTTGAATGTGCAAAGAGGATTTTTTTCCTTTCTGCTACATTTTGCTTGTTTTTTTTTGTTTTGTTTTTTTTGTTGTTTTTTTTTAATAATGTTTTAAATACAAGTACAAATTGTTTTCATGTGTGTACATATAGATTACTGCAGGTTGATCATATTAGAAAAGGTGATTATTTGTGATGTTTCAGAAAATTGGCTATGAAGTTGAATAAAGCTTGGGAGTTTTCATTTTTCATTACAATCTTCATGAATTACCTCAAGCATTACCAATATAAAATACCAAATGAATACAGCACTTTATAAGCTCCATGAGGTTTAGTGCCTTAAATACATAGGATATGGGAATTTTGACTGCTGTTTAAAAATTGGACAGCCAAAAGCATTTACTGGCTACCAATTGGTAGCAACCTGGAGAATGACAACAAATTTTTCAAAATATGAAAAACTGAAGAAATACTGACTTCCTACACAGACATAAGAAACATGTATAGATTATAGTTAACCAATGTATTGAATTATCAGTTGTTGAAGTAAACTGACAGAAAATATCTTTGAGGTAAATTGATGTCTGTAAGGTTCAGTTGAATGGAGACTTGGATAAAGTAATTGCCTTCCAGTATATTGTAGCTGTAGTATGGTAAAGGAGAAAAGCAGCACAGTGCTTTGCCTTGGTTTGGTCACATAGTAGTTGCAGGACACATACAGGTAGAGTTTGATTAAATGTGCTTAGATATCGTATGTGAAGTGATATGCAGTCAGATTCCAAAAGGCTTCATCCATTAAAAGAAATTCCTCCACTTGAAAATTTATAATCATTTAAAACAAAATAAAAAACCCATTTGTATTATTCTAAGTGGGTCCATAAATTCTCAGACAAGTTGATGACCATCATAAAGTTCTTATTTGAAGAAAATACTCCGAAAGTCTCAACTTACTAAAGAGAGAGATTGAGAATATCATTGTGTACGGAGTTGATGAAAGCACAACTTTTAAGATAGGCTGTAATGTATCTGATGTTACTATTTCTGTTATCTTTGACCATGGAGAACATCATGTGTCATTTCAGTGACACTACAAGTTTAAATCACTAAATTATCATATTCTAGAGGAGGAGTCAACTATCATTATTGAAACAGTACATAAGTAGATATCCTATATGGTATGGTATTTATTTTCATTACTGTCCAAAGATCAGCTAAATTTTGTTTAGCAATAGAAAAAGTATCAAGATTAAAAAAAAAAAAAAAAAATGATGCAGGAATGGAAACTGTAACATTCAGCAATACAATGGTAGGGGAAAATGTAGTCCTGGCACATTTACTTGAGCATACATTTGCTTTGCTGACATTTACAATGAACTATATCATTTAGGGATAGTCTAGCTGCTGCATTTTGTTAGAGCAAGAAATCTTTTTTTCAACAGAAAAATTAAATTTATTTTTCTTGTATGTGTACTGAATTAAAGTCTGAGGGACTTATGAAAGTAACAAAGCATCAGAAATAGCTTAATGTTAACAAACCTATACTTATTTCAAGTAAGGCATATTTTTAATAGTTGAATACTCATTTAATTTTATGAATTTCTATGTGATCAGATGTCTAAATTTGCTATTTAGTGTATGTGATTTATATTTGTTTAATCTCTTTGAGGTACATCTTTCATGCCTAAGGCACATCAAGATTCTCTCTTCCAAAAGATTGTTACAACTAATACTCCTCCTCCATATCACCTAACCAGGAACAGACAGGCTTATCAGCACCACATGGATAGCAAATTTTTTTTTTTTTTTTGTTAAATCTCGAAATCTGCCTGTGAAATACTGGCTTGCATTTTCTAAGTTATTGTGCTCTTTAAGATTACTTTTTCGTACAACAAATGCTACACTGAATGAACATTACTTTGCATTCCAGTAACATTTCATTCTATGGAAACTTATTACCTTAGACCCATACAATTTAGGAGGATTTCTGAGGAATAATAAATATGAATCATTTCTAAATGGAGTTGAACTTTTGGACAATAATCCAATGTCTGCAAATATCAAATAGAAATGAATCTGTCATTTTATCTTAAAGTTCAGATAATCCCACATTTATTGTGGAATGTCAAATGGAACACAGTACCATTACAAAAAATAAATATGTCCCATAGCATGGAGGATGATGAAATTATAGCTTCATTTTAATCGTGTATCAAAAACTCTCAATCAATGTGTTAAAATTAGTGTCATAAAGTGTTGTTCATACTATTAGTATTTTCTTTCTGAGTAGGGAAAAGAAAACTAGTCTCTATCCATGTGCATACATATGGGTTTCCATATTTACAACCAGAATCTGATATAACCATAAGTTATGAATGGCCATATATGAGATTGTGTTGTAGTACCTTTGGCATTCAAAGCGGGGAAGTAGCCACCAAATCTCTCTCGATACAATTTATTCAACTGAGGTCTTCATGCTTAATAAGTGCTTGGACAGTGACTCCAGTTTACCAACAGCTCCCATGTTGAATACAACTTGAAATATATTTTTAACTTAATTTTGATGTTTAATCCAATTACCTAATCTGAATGTTTAATACTTAAATGATTTCTTTTTCTAATTTTGATACTTCCATTTACTTGGATTTTAATGCAGTGTGTATAAATGTGCATTTAAAAGTAATTGTAAAGAAATATACTGAAATATTGATTTAGCTTTCATATTTTGGATATTGTTATTTAAATATTTTGATTTGTATTGTTTCAAGCTGGAGAAGTTCTCAGTGTTGCCCGGCCATTCTTGGAAGAAGATATGCACCCAACAGTCATCATCAGTGCATTCAGACATGCTCTTGATGATCTCTTGGACACAATGAAAACTAAAATTGGGTTGGTTACTTTTTATATTTAACGCAGTTAAATCCCTCCCCCTTTTTTTCCTTCCAAATAACTGTCAAACAGTAAAAAGAGCCTTGTACAATAATCAAATGAATACTTTAAGATAAAAGCAAAATTACTTGGATTAACATTTATATTTAAGGAATCTGCTTTTTATGTTTCTGTTAATTTTATTAGAAATCTTTTTTAAAAAAAGTCTTAATTTAAAGATAATGAACAGATAAAATGTTTAAATATTTCTGTTATATAGTAATGTTAATATATTTTATAATTTTAGACTGATCTTGTGTAATTTTCTCTTCAACTTTTTATTGGTCTTTTCTGTTGTAGCATTCCTGTTGATGTTCGTTTTCAACACAAATACTGATCCACAATACAAGGATGAACTATGAGGCTTATACGATTAATTACAATAATTTTAATATATACAAATATACATATATCAAAATATAAAAGAACAGATAAGTATGAGTTAAACTATCCGACGACCAGATCTCGAACTTATTTGGGATATCAAATTCGCCGAACATCAAATGGATTCAACTGAACCCGAACATATAAAATACAAGTATGAATTACTATGAATTGAATGCAGAAGCCGACGCACATACATAAAAGAGATGGGATAGTAATTATAATTATTGTTTTACATGTGGAAAGGTGTTTGCGAAAAAAAAAAAATAATATTCATGTGTGTGTGTGTGTATATCTTTTATACTACGGGTCCAAAATGTGATTACTTATCTTTTGTATTCAGTTCTCTCTTTTTTTTCTTTCTATAAATATATCAATGTCCTTTCTTTTCTTTTATCGGCACAAACACCATTTCGTACACTGCCAGTCTGTAATAGAGGTACACACTTTCTTCCTCTCTTGTTTCGTCTTTTCTTTCTGAAAACATTTGAAAAGCTTCCTTTTCCTTTTTTCTTCTGTAGACAGCTCGGTTTGCAACAGGGATGTACACTTTTTCTTCTTCTTCTGAAAACAGCTCGACTTGCAACAGGGGGCTCGACTTGCAACAAGGATGTACACTTTCTTCTTCTTCTGAAAACAGCTCGACTTGCAACAGGGAGGGATGTAGGGACTTTCCTTTTCTTTTACAAGTTAACTTATAACGGAGGTATACACGCAGGTTGAATCATCAACATATATCTTTTCTAATACGTCTTCAAATTGGGATTTTCGAACACGTTATTTCCTTATATTCCGTGTCCGGAGTTGCCTGGATAGAACTGGATAAGTCATCACTATCGAATGCATCTTATCTTTCCGTTCGTGAACCACTAGCGTCTCGGCTTCGGTCTTGCTTTTTCAAAGTCCAGATAACAACTGATCCTCGAGTGAATCTTTGACTGTCACGTGTCTTAGTTTTTTTTTTTGGCGCCAATTCTTACGTACTTCCATCCCCTGTCTAGCTTCTGTCTAGACATTTTCCGTTACGGGTAATTGGGTCAGTCGACCTTTCGACCTGCCTTCCCAAAATGTCATAAGACTTCACGTAATCTTTATTTTGTTGGTAGGCGGAAATTAACCTTCATATGCGCGTCTAGGCTATCTGCTTTCAATGTCCGTCACACCAACAAATCCATATTTCATCAAAGAAACCTAAAACTAAATCAGACAGAAGAGTTTCTTAGAAGAAACAGAATGATTATTTTTATTATTAGCACACTGTGATCTGGGTTGGTGTCTGTATTGTTTCCTCTTCAGAAAATAAACAGAAACAGCTCATTCAGACTTCTCTTTAACAATATTGTGATAACAAGTCCTCTGATTGGTTAATAGATGGTTAATAGGTAAGTCAATGACAGCCATGCTTCATTTCCACATTGGAAGAGAAATTAGAAATTCATTATCTTTTGACAGTGAACATCAAACTTCACTCACCACATCATTCCAGGGAGACATAGACAAGATACCCACATCGCATTAGATATATGCGTAATTGCCCACCCATCATGTCATCAAGGGATCCATAAACTGTCACCTTGGTCTTACACCTTATGAAACATTCAGTCCTCAAGATCAAATTATTCCTGATCAGATCACAAGAGGTAATCCTCTTCATGCATTTCAGTAGGAAATATTTCAGTATATTTCAGCAACCGCACGTCCTACAGGGAAAATCCATTACCTCCAATTATCTGTTGATTCTTTACCAGCATATATCACCGAATATATCAAGTACCATCAAGTACTACTAAGGGTCCATTATCTTATAGACATATTTCATAGTTCTCTTGATAAACTTCATTGCCTTTGAGGATAACTTCCACACAGAATGTGATTCCTCAACGGTTGCCCCAGTATCGTCCTTCGTTTTTCAGTAATAATAACTTTTTTTCAGTGTCTACCTCATTCTTTTCTACCTCTTGCTTCAAATCTTTGAAGATCTCCTTCACAAAAGCTGTTGGATTCCATGTCAGTCTTATGAGTTTTCCTTGTCTTTCGCAAAGTCTTACTTTGGCGGTGACCTATCTGGCTGATCTACCTTTCGGGCAGGCCCCAAAAGATCCTTCTTGATGGCCCAACATTTATTGGCCACATTGAAGAAACAATAGAACTTCAAAGGCAGACAGTGTTAAACAAAGGATGAACAAAAGAAACAAATAAAATGAAATAAAGCATGAATGCAAAAAAAAAATCAAATTATAACAAGGTAAAGAAAAGACAAAAATAATGTAAATAAACAAAAGTAGTGTAAAAAAAAAAAAGACATTTATAAAGAAGAAAAAAATCAAGAAACATATTTTGAGAAAAACAGTTCCTGTCTGGCAAAAAAAAAAAAAAAAAAAAAAAAACATTTTTGCACAGTTAGAAAAGAAAACGATAAAAGTTAATCATGTTAGGAATGACTACAAAATTATCCCCTTCCTCAAAATTCATAGACAAAGCATCCAAATGAATGCTTGGATTTCTTCCTAGCCAATGAGATAAGCCACTTCTTGCTTGTCTGTATCCTATTTGTGTGTTAATACCATTCTTAGTTTGTGACATATTTGCCTTATTTATGTTAATTTGTCTATTTTTGTCTTACATCTATTATTTACTTAATACTTTTTTCTGTTCTTTTATTATTTTTTATTGCAGTAAAAAAATGTAGCGATTATTTGCCTGAAGACATTTTTAAGATTTAAAGGTAATTTAGTCATGGAATTCATGATTGAGTTAAAGTTTAATCATTAAGCTTTCAAATAATTTGTAAACTATAAATAAATACCATGCACACTAGAGAGAAACATTTCCAATGTGAAATATGTGGAGTTTGTTTTACCCAAAATATCCATCTTGAATGTCACATATTGGCATGTGACCTATCCATTGTGAAATTTGTAGAGTTACTTTCTCACTAAAACCACATCTCAAATGACACATGTTAACACCAATATGAGAGAAATGATTCCTTTGTTCGCTGTGAAGCAGGCACTTTTCTTGAAGAAGGAATTTCACGCTGTATATAGCAAGACTTTCTGAGGCAAAACATTTCTAATGCAAAAATAATCTCTGGTTTAAGGTGTTCTTATGTTGTATTGTTTTATGATTGTATTCCATTATGAGAAGAGTTGTAGCTGATGGCTGGCACACACGTCAATATCTCATCAATATTAATTTGGTCACAATGGCCAAAATTTTCCCAAAATTCACCCTAAAAAAAAAACAAAAAACACACGTTTACTTCCTCTTCATAAAGATTTCTGTTATAAGATTTTACATGTATTTGGTTGGAATTCTGCACTAAATAATATACACCCGTGTGAATGCATTCACATCTGATTTGTTTCATAATATTTTCATAAAGGTTTTTTAATATAAAGTTGACATGACATGAAGTAATCCCTGCTGTAAATCCTTAGGCATCCTTAGGCAGTAGACCTATTTGATCTTCCATAAAAAAATAATTTAACAGTTGTGAAAATAAAATTCTTTTAAAATTATTTATATGAAAATCCCACAAAAAACTTTTTTCTATTCTTCAAACACATTTTTTTTTTAAAAAAAACTCTTTTTTGTCGTAAACAAATAGAAGAATTTCAAAAGCACACTGAAATATTACAAGTAACATTTTGAAAAATTCATATTTTTTGCTGTCAAATTTGGAAGAAAATAATGTATTTTATTTAAATATGCTATCCTGGAATTACAACAGTAATTATATTTTTATTATTTTAAAACAATTTTGTAATGTTTTTGGGAAAATTTTAAGATTTTCTACTTTTTGTTGCAAAAAATGTTTTATTATAAAATAAATTATAAAAAAATTTCCATAGATTTATTGTATTATTTTTTAAGGTTTCAGATCATGATTGCCAATCAGTAATACTAATTAGAAACAAAAAATATTGAGACCTAACAAACACTAATAAAACAACACCTTATAATATAATTATTGTCTCACAATTGCTGCTTTTTTTGATTAGAATTAAAAGCCTATATTGTCTTGTATTATTTTGCCTTGTTTGTTTTTCTTCCACTTCTGATTATTGTTTATTGAGAATTTTCTCAATTGTCTATAAACTGGCCTATGGCCAGCTATTCCAAAATTTCCCAAAATTAATCCCACAAAGGAAGAATGCCACAGGTTTACTTCTACTTCATAAATGCTTCTATTCTGAGTTTTCAGATTTTGTATTTGGATGGAATTCTGTAACATATTGCGTAACATATTTTTAAAATGTAGATCTAAAATGACATAAAGTACTCCCTACTGTAAATCCTTAGGCAGTAGATACAGATATACACAAGTATTGGGCACCAAATTTTTATGAAACTAATAATTTCTACTATTGTTACTAATCTAAAAAGGGAAAAGTTTAATCTATTTGTTCTTCCATACGAAAAAAATTTTTCTGATATGAAAATTATTTAAAAAATTGTCATTTATATGAAAAAAAATTTTTCCATTTAAAAAAAAATATCTCTTTTGTCATCAACAAATGGAAGAATTTGAAAAAATCCCATTGAAATATAAATTTTTCACAAGTTTACTGGCAACTAAACTTTTGAAAAATTCATATTCCTTGTAGATATTTTTTGCTGTGATATCTGGAAGAAAGATACACTAGCACTAAATTACTACAAAAGTTATTTTTTATGTTCTTCAATTATTCTTGTAATCTTTCACGGTAAATTTTCAATATTATAAAAATTATTTTTAAAGATATATTGAATTATTTTTGTATGGATTCAGGTTAAAATTACCAGAGACAATCAGCAATGCTAGTCACAAAAAGAAAACCATGAGACCTAACAACCATTCTTCCTGCTTACAGAGTGAAGGTTGCTTAGATTTGATATGTAAGGTCATCAGTATTTTCAAATGATAATCTGAATGTGATTGCTGATAAGAGAGGAGAAAATCTCTTGCAAAAGACTAGGAACAAATCGGATTACATAAAATGTCTTTTTGCTACAATAAATTTATTGACAAAAAAGAAGAAAATCTAAAACATGCTAAAGTTTTGGACATGTTCCAAAAATATGACTCATAAAAGCACGATAAAAAGATTACATCTGCAACTGACAAAAGTTATCTCTAGTTATCGGATAAGTACTAATAAAACAATACAATATACAGCTCAAAAAATACAAACAGTATCATTTGGAGGTCAATATTACCAGCCTTGAAATCACCATATTTCTTATAGTATCAAAGGAAAACATCACCTTTACAATGCCACAGGCAATGAAAAGGTTTGAAAAGATTTGTATTGTTATCCTTGTAATTGTAGTATTTTCCTATAGAATCATGGTAAAATCAAACAGCTTACAATGTCACAGGCAATAAACAGTTATATATAAAAAAAATGGTATACTTTTAAGGTCTGTGTTATTAGACTTGAAGGAACGGCATTTTCCAATACAATCATGGGAAAATGTTCTTCCAGATGCGCTGCATTTAATTTGATCTCCACGGTGAACCTCTACTAACTGTACTCAACGTGAGTGACTTTTTAACTCCCACAAGAAATCAACATCATATGTGCCAGTCTGATAGAGGCACATCATTTATTTCAAGGGAGATGACAGAATGGTTCTTCTCAAGACGGATAGGCACTAATAAACCAACACCTTATAATATAGGTAACGGACAGCTTGTAATCACGTTATTTTCTAAATGAATCATAGGAAAATAACACCTGTACAAAGCTACAGGCAATTAACAGTTATAAAGATAAAATGGTATCCTTTTAAGGTCAGTATTATTAGCGTTGAAAGGACGTTTTTTTATATGCGAGATTACATTTTGTTTAAATTTGAAAATTCCAAAACAAGACAACCACAGCGTAAAATTTAAAAAAAGGATAAACACATTTATTTTACAATATCACAAAAGAAAAAGTATAAATACATGGTTGTACAAAAATTTCCTCTAGTGCACCTATTATGGCAGGATAATTTTCTCAGGTTACAAAAATGGGATTACCACCAGATACAAGGAAAAATGTGTTACAATTTTTTGGAAGAGACATGGATTCAAATACAAAAAGATTAAACTCTTTAAAAAGGGAAAAACTTAGAGGAAGCAAAAAAAAAAAAAACCTTGCACAAGTCAGAAAATAGAAAATGCAGCCACCTTCATTCTTAATAGAAAACTCAATAACAGAATGTCTCAGCACAAAGTAGTTTTTGTGTCATCACAAGTTATCTCTAGGAACTTTTTGACGCAAAGAAGTCCGTGAGGTCTTTGCACAAGTCTGCTTCATTGGTGAAGGATTTCCCACGAACATGATTATCCAGGGAGTGGAAGAGGTGGTAATCGGATGGCTCAAGGTCAGGTGAATAAGGTGGATGGCACAAAGTCTCTGACCCAAGTTGCTGTATGGTATCCCTGACCTTTCACTGCGACATGCAGCCTGGCGTTGTCATGGAGGAAAAGCATACCTTTGCGATTCACCAGTGCAGGCTCCTTCTGGCGCAATGCCTGTTGCACATATTTCAGTTGCTGCGAGTATAGGTCTCCAGTGACCATTTGACCCATTGGTAGCAGTTCATAATGAACCACTTGATGACCTGTCCACCAGACACAAAGCATAATCTTGCGTGGGTGCATAGACGGTCTTGTGGTGTGAGGGACAGCATCCTGAGGAGACAACCAATGTCTGGAATGCTTGGGAGTTTCGTACAGAACTCACTTTTCATCACTGGTAAGCACTCGATTGAATAAGGATGCCGTACGGTGGCGAGAAAGCAGCGATACACAGGCTGCCACTCATCCCTTGTGGATCTCTAACAGCGTTTGCGGAACCTACTTGCTCAGTTTGTACGTCTTACCTAGGCGGTGCAGGTGAAGTCTGTTTCGTCGGAAATGTTGAACTGTCTTGCAAGTTCACCACACGTTAGACTACTGTCCTCTTCAATGGCCACCTTCAGAACTCCTTCATTCAAGACCTGTGGTCGTCCACTGCGAGGATCATCATGGAGAGACAAATCTCCCGACTTGAATTTTCGAAACCAACGCCTTGCAGTATGTTCATCCACAGCACTTTCCCCAAATGCTTGACATATGCGGCAACTTCATGCAGCTGAAGCCCACTTTGAAGTCGTAAAGCAAACAGCCCCAAACGAGATCTCTAGACACTTCCATCCTTCTCAAAGCTGTCCGGCTTATAACTCATGGCTAGGCACAGTGCACATTTTTTTTTTTTTTTTAATGTCTGATGTTCCTACTTCTGGCTGTCAGAATTTGAAAACAATTGCTACACACATTTCGTATATATTTCAACTTCATTCAATGACTAATCAAAAAACGGACAGAACTTTTTTGGTTACCTTGTATAATGAAACATTTCTCCAAGAATTTGGAAAATGAATCTTCAACAAATAATTTTAGCGGTCAAGCACAGAGTCAAAAGGATCATAAAAGAATGTAGCAATTTTTGCACAAAATGTCTGGTCTTCATAAAAATATACTTCTCTCAAAAAACGTGTATTAAAAAAACAACCTAGATATCATCTAGGTTTTTTAATACACGTTTTTGAGAGAAATATTCATTACAACTTAACTTTTTTTTTATATATATATATATATATATATATATATATATATATATATATATATATATATATATATATATAATTTGATATAGACTTAAGAAAAAAACAAATCAATCCGTAAAAAAAAGATGCTTAGTAAATCTATGCCAACAGTCATTTCCTGACTATATTTAGGAGACACTGCTGATACATTTTTTTTTTTTTTTTTTTTTTTATCCCTTGCATTGTTTTTCTTCCAGGCACTTATATGGAACTTGTGCTTAAAAAAAACCTTTTGATGATTTTTTTTTTTTTTTTTTTAACAGATTCCTGGTGGAAGCATTGAAGATTCCTGTGTCTTGCAAGGTGTTCTTATCAATAAAGATGTCACACATCCAAAAATGAAGAGGTACAATCTGTAGAATTTTTTATTTATTATTTTATGAAAAGAAGTTGCTTAAATGTTTAAAAGATATCTTCTCTCATTTTAGTGTTGTGGATTCTTTGAAGTAGAATTTTTCTGAGAATTTAAAAAATTTTTCCACTTTTCTTTTATAGGAAGATAGAAAATCCACGCATTCTTTTACTTGATTGTTCTTTGGAATATAAGAAAGGTGAAAGCCAAGTAAGTACTTTTTGTACAGTTTTGTCATTTTCTGACTTCCTTTTCTTACTCAATAAGTATAAATTTTCAAAGTATTGTAGAATCACTGTTAAAATAAGTATTTGCAGTATATATTTAGGGGATATTTTTTTTTTTTTTCTCTAGTTACATTTTATCAGGTCATTATATTCAACAGCTGCTAGAGTAAGCAACATAACAAATTAAAAGTAAAAATAATCTCTGCCAAGATTTGAATTTGTATCCATATCCTGAGAGCTAATCTGTTATAAATGTTGCCATGATGGATTTAATCATAAAGGCATAATTTCATTATGGATCCAAATCTTACAGCCATAAAGTTTACATTTATTATTCATACTGGTTTTTTTTTTTTTTTACTATGTAATAGTATAAGCCACACCCTCTCTACTTCCCATCTCTGTCAGCTTTGAGTAACACTGATCTTATAGATCATTTGACTTCTTTTTCTCTCCTCAGTTGGGGGCCGGTGTGTGGTTGCGATAGGGTTGACTCAGGTTTCTCAAAATCTTACAATATTGAGATTGATTGCAAAGTCTAGTGTGAACCCCTCTATGCGCGTTGTGTACCATAGTTAAGAAGGAATAATTCCTAACTTACAGACATGGTAACTTTTGAAATTCTGTCAATAAAATGCACAATGCTGTTGATAACTCTAACAGATTTTTTGAATATAAAGAACAACTGGCAAAAAAAGAGTCTGTTATCTACTGAAGGCCTAAGCTCTCTAGTTACTGGATGGTGACTTGAGAATTTAGCAGTAATTGTTATAAAATAGTGGAAGCAACCAACTGTTATGCACGTGTTTGTATATTCACTCCTGCTACCAAAAATGTGGTATTTCTTGTGAGATGGCAGTTGTCTTGACGACACTTTGTTGGTTTGATTTCTCCGTCTGCCTTTGGGCCTGATGAGCTCCCACTTACACACACACATATATATATATATATATATGATCCCCCCCCCCGGGATTTGGCATAGATATATCTAATTTCTCCACTCTGACTGTCTTAACCTTAGATCTTGTTAATAACCATAGTACAATTTTTTTTTTTTCGTATCTTTGATATCTTTAAGTAAATATGGTGATTTAGGGTGGATGGCATCAACATAAACAAATCCCAAGGTTGGGAATTAACAAAAAACAGGTACTTTCTTTTATTTAAAAGAATTTGGATCATTCTCTTCTGTAAGTTATAACGTGTATTGGACATATAGCATAATGTAAACAAACTTCCAAATTTAATTTCTCAGAACCTGACAACACATTAATCATGTCGTTTTATCAGTGGGAAGTGGATGGGTGGGGAACTTTGGTTTTGCTCAGTTTCATTGAATCTTGGCTAGTTTTCTGGGTTTGATTTTTCTTGGAACTTTTCTTAAATTCATTTTTTTTAATTTTTTATTTTAAAACATAATTTTTGACCCATTTCTTTTTCATTTTTTTTCTTAACCATTCAACATACTCTTCTGAGAATTTTAATAATTATTATCGAATTAGTAGTCCCTCCAAATCACCATCCTGTAATTTCATGCCATTAAAAAAAAAAAAAATCTTATTGATGAATGTGTTTTCAGTATTCCTTGAGAAACCATTTTCATCACGTTATCAGCAGTGTTTCTGCTGGTCATGATAGTCACCTATGATTTAGACAGATTTGTATTTGTGTATTCTTAGTTAAAGAATGAAAGAATTAAACATGATGCATTTATCTTTGTCCATAACAGAAGTTATGTACCTTTTTACTAAATTTGTCAAATCATCTGACTAGTCATAACTTTCTCCACCTTTCCCACTTGTCTCTGGCCTGTTTTATATGCTGTCCAAAAAATGTCATCTCAACATAACAGAACATGCACAAAAAAAGGCACCTCTTTCCTCTGTGACATGCAGCCATCGTGGTCAACTCCCAGTCATGGCGTGACACTGTAATGTTTCTTCTACCGGCGTTTTGGTGTTGACTCTTTGTTGCTGCCACTATCCTGTGTCCCAGTTGATCAGTGGTCGTCACTACTTGGCGAAGTCTCCTGGTCAGGATACCAATATGGGACACTGGCCTGTCATCGATGTTAACGGCTTCACCAGCTGTACTGGTTCAGTACCAGCTCTATCGTTCCCAGCTCACTTGCAACGTCTGGTTACTGGGGTAACTGCTTCGATCTCGAGTCTACCCTACCCATGTTGTGACTTTGATCTTAGGTAGACGAGATCAATCAGGTGTCAGGCCATAGTGTAGTCTGAGTCCAGACTGAAGCTGGTATCGCACAAGTGCAAAGAAAAAAAATAAATAAAAGAAAAACCCAAGAGGTTCAAGAATGTTCAACAAATTAATTTTATCCTTCCATTATATAAAGGAGGGTGTTTTTCCCCCAGCCCATTTTCTACAAAATGTGACACTTCTACGTTTCAAGCAAGTTGGTATCTTAAGTCAGCTGATTTAGTTCTTAGGTGCTGACTTGGCTTCGTTAGTCAATATAACTTGCTATTGGTAGGATAGGCGAAGTCGGAGGTCATGGAATCTCTCGGTCTGCTTCTGCAAGGCAACACTCTGGTTAAGCTCTGACTCTAACTCAGAACTCCAACTGACTAACTGCCCGAGGACATTTGTTTATATGGGTACTGACCAAAACCGGGTGCAGGACCAGATGCAGCCTGGGGTTCCCGGTAAATCTTGATTCCTAACAAGAAAGTTTTGTTGTCAGGCCAGGAAAATTGATTACTTCCCATTTTTGGAAAATTAATCACTTTCCATTTCCGTGAGGGGAAGGTCAGAGGAGAGCTATCCTCCTAGACTCTTCCTCTCTCACATTGATATCATACCAATCCCTTCAGTGGGCGTTAATAACTTCTCCATCTTTCTCATCCATTCATCTCTGCCTATCACCATTGCTACCACTCGATCTATGGCATCCTGGCTGTGCGGGTGCGACTAAGCTGGCCTCCTTAAAATTATACTCTGTTTACAAAATTCTCCCTTTTCCCATCAGCCAAAATTTTTACGAATTCCATATTGCAAATTAAATTTCTATCATATCTTTTGGCCAACCAGAATTCTCTTAGCCAGCACTCTCTACTGACTCCATCAATCACTCAAAGTTTGCCATCTGGTCCCTTCGTGAAGTTAGCTTTATGATGGAATCCTTGGCTTGTTGAGAGATTAAATTCTTTATCTCGCCAAATTTCAATTCTCCACTCTATTTTCTGTCTCATGCCAAAATTTTACAAACACCATATTGCTATTCAACATTTCAGCATCTGAAGCGACACTTTGATAAGGTAAATAATAACAATCCTCTCGCCTATGTCGAGACAATACCAAAATTTTATAATTGCCACATTGCTTTTCCCTGCCAGTGGACAGGAAAAAAAAAATAATAAATGATATCTTGGAAAGATTGAAAGCCAAAATTTTTATGACCGCCATCTTCCTATCTCCCTTGGCAAGACATTAATCAACCTGACAAAAACCTCACATATGGCTTTTTCCAATGGTTTACTGTCTTTTGTGGAAAGTATCTTTTTTGTAAATAAAATAAAATCTTTTTTTAACATTGATCAGTCTATCTTTCGGGATAGCTCTTTTTTGGCTTAAATATTTCCTGTTTTAATTTCTATGGTTAATTAGTTAGCCAATTACCATAGCTAAATAGTGTCACACCTCGTTTCTGTGTGTTTATGCTGTCTGTTTACTCAAAATTTATACTGGTCCTTCTGTCAGTGAAAAGTATTTAATCTAATATTGTTCAATTTCCTCTCTCCAGGTGAAATAGGTGGGAAATGTGTCAAAAGTTGGTAGAATTTTCTTTACATTTCATCATCAGAGACCGAGTTGTAATGACAGAAAAGGGCAAAATAGGTACCTTTTGCATGTAACTAACAACTACTTGAATCTTGAAATGAGATTCATTATATTAAGATTTTTAGACAATCTTTCATTATGATTTTAATTCTAAAATTTCATTATTAGATAGGATTGTTTAGCAAGTCATTTCCAGTCCAAAAATCATATCACCTGTTCAAACAATTCCTTCTATTGCCTTTCATTTTTACTGTCCTTAAACATGTTCTCCTTCAGTTGTCTAGTCACTTCAATATTTGGGAATAAATTCATGAAGGTCTACCATGAATTTTCATTCATACTCTACCATAAATTTCATGTTTTTATATATTTATATAGTTTTTTCTGTATCTTTTCTATCTACTTTAAATTTCTGCTAAGGGGGTGGGGAGAAAATTGGCAGTTAATTTTTTTTTTTTTTTGAATTTGTCTAAAAGTTCTGCACAACATTCTGCTGTAAATGTTTTATCTTGCCATATAACTTCTATGAATGAATCCAATGCTCTAGAGTTGTCAGCAATAGCTTTAAGAATAAGACATTGTTATAATCTGTAATGTTTTCATTTAATTTATTTATCATAGGTTTGTCATCTTTTTTTTACTTTTTCTTTTTGTATTTTTAGACTAATATAGAAATCAGTGGGGAAGAAGATTTTGCGTAAGTATTAAATTTCTGTTGGATAAAATATTTTATCATTAGTTTTCAGAAAATTAGTTACCTTTATTAATAAAATATCCATTTCTCAAATAAACTAGTGTCTACTTGCTTGACTTAATTGGTGCTTTTTATTTATTTATTTTATTTATGTAAATAAAAGATGTATTAAAAAATGTTTAACAATTATCTTTTTTCAAATAACTATAATTTGTTTTTGTTTCTATCATTGTTTGTTTATTTCATAGTAAAATCCTGCGCATGGAGGAGGAATATATTGAGCAGATCTGTAATGAAATCATTGCTTTTAAGCCTGACCTTGTTATCACAGAAAAGGGTGTCTCTGATTTAGCCCAACATTTCTTGGTCAAGGCTGGAATTAGTTGTATCCGCAGAGTAAGGAAAACTGACAACAACCGTATTGCTAGGTAAGTATTTGAAATGATAAAAGTAAATAAAGCTCAAGACTTTGGTATTTTGTTATTAAAAAATATAGGTAAGATTTTTTTTTTTTTTGACTATATCTTTAAGGTATTACAGATGGTTAAAAGAATTTAGGACATTTTCTAATATTTCATCGTAATGTCATGAAGTATTTACTTTTAACTTAAGTTTGAATTAATCTTGTATAAAATTTTACATATTAACTTAATTTGAATTTACTGTCATTTAATTTTGTATTGAGAATTTTAAACCTTTAAAATTTATTACTTAAATTTTGGTACTGTTTTTACATGGAATATAGATTGACATTTTTATATTCTCAAGTACATTATTTTAAGTACAAATTTAAATTCTGTTTTATTTATTGTCAGAGCTTGTGGGGCAACCATTGTTAACAGAACTGAGGAAATCAAGGAAGAGGATATCGGCACTAGCTGTGGTCTTTTTGAAATCAAGAAAATTGGTGATGAGTAAGTTAAAGAATTTTTCTTTTTAATGAACTGCATTTATCTTGAAATTAATTGAATGCTTGTTTTTGTAATGATTTTGTTGGTGATGGCATAACAGTCACAGCATTTAAGACTTTGTTGGTCAACTGAAGTATCTTAATATTAGATCCACTAATATACTCGATAGTTTCACCCTATCACACTTGTAGGAAGGGAATAGGATGTGTGTGACCTAATAGGTAGAGAAGTATTTTAGCTCGGGCAACAGAAAGATGCATGACTGATTTCATTCATTTTTAATTAATGTTATTTCAACTTTGTCTTCTTTTCAGATACTTCACATATATGGTAGATTGCAAAGATCCCAAAGCCTGTACCATCTTACTGAGAGGTGCTAGTAAAGATATTCTTAATGAAGTTGAGAGAAATTTACAGGATGCTTTAAATGTTGCTCGAAATGTTATTCAGGAACCAATTTTAGTACCAGGTGGAGGTGCAACAGAAATGTCTTTAGCACATGTAAGTTTTTGTTTGAAAAAATTAGTACAAATTATTTGTGTATTGCTTAGTTGAATTTAATTTATGTATGGGTATTTACTTATTCACCTTTTATTTATGGGAGATATCCCATACTCCTGAATAGATGCCTGGAAGTACAAGTGGTACCAAATTCTATACCATAAATATATAAAAATTCTGTAACAAGATGTTTGTTGTTTGTTTATTTTTTTGATTTTTCTTGTTTAGCAACTTTAGCATCAAATTTCTTTTCTTGTTAAATCGATAATTTTCACATTTTAACTTAATGGAAGCTCTTGATTTTTTCTGGCATATCTGGATTGCCAACATCTGCATTTCTCCATTTTAAAATAATTATTTAGTAAAACTTACATATTATTTATTTCTGGATTGGCTGTGAATAAGTGAAACTGCAGAATTTTAATGTAATTTTGTAAAAAGCCAACTAATTCATTCTTTGGATTTAATTGGTACTCTTATGTAAAAGAGAAAACCAAAATAGACATTAAATTTTTAGGCCTTTTAGATTCTATTTAAATTTTGCATTTCTTTGCTTAATTTGGGTTATATGATGAAGTACTGAAAAATATTCTAGTCAATGTTCAGCACCTCTTCACATATTCAAATTTAAATCACTTATGTTATTGAAATTATCTTTATATTACATGAGTGCTTTGACTTTCCAGTTATTTATTCTTGAAGCAGTATACCAAATTGTCATTCATTTCTAAGAATATTCTCATTTTAACATAAGGCACTGATCCTGATTTTGATCTCTAATTGGTGCTTCTAAAATTAATGAACTCTTTTTCCTTTGGATATTTTGTGGGAATGATGGTGGGACCTGGTATGTTTTTTTTTTTTTTTTTTTTTTTTGCTTCATTCTTTCTTTAGCTTTTAATTTTGAAACACTGAAGGTATGAAGTCTATCAGAAGATGGATGTCTACTTTGAATATCAGTCCTGCATGTTTTCACTTAAATTGATCCCGGATCATGTCTGGAATATTAATGAGAAGTTTTAATTCTTCAGCTAAATGTATCCGATTGCTGTGATTATTTTAATTCAACTTCTAACAATAACTACCTAAAATAATTAAATACATCAGTTTATAATAACCTTTTCTTTTTCTTAGGCTCTCAATGAGAAAGCTAAAAGTATAACAACTGTACACCAGTGGCCATACCGAGCCATTGCTAAAGCTTTGGAAGTGTTGCCTTTGACTTTGATTCAGAACTGTGGTGCTAGCACCATCCGTACTTTGACAGCGCTTAGAGTAAGTTTCAATATATTCTTAATGTTTTGTTTTTAGCCAGATTTTTGCTCTATTAAAGGTTTTTATGTCAAATGTTTTTTTATTTTAATTATTTTATAAAAGTTTATGTATTAAATTTTCCTTTGTTCAAAAATGTAATTTTTGTAGGCCAAACATGCTCAGCCTAATAACACCACATGGGGTGTTGATGGAGAAACAGGAGAAATAGTTGATATGAAGCAGTTAGACATTTGGGAGCCATATGCTGTGCGAGCACAAGTTTTCAAAACGGCAATTGAAGTAAGTTTATTTTTCAGTTTTTTTTTTTTTTTTTGTTTTTAAATATGAAATGTTTATTTTTCTTTTGAAATAATAATTGAAATTCTATTTAAATCTATTTTCATAAATTATGGAAAGCAAATATGAAGAATTAAAGTTTCACTTAAATTTACATAATCTTTATTTTTGTTGATAAATAATGCAGGAGAGTTCCTTAAGAGGCAACTGAATATTTATTTCATTTATCCAAAACATAGCCATGTCATACCCACTCAAAAGCAAAGTTATGTTTGGCTATTTAAACAACTTGTTTGATTCAAAAAATTGTTTATGAAATATTTGTTCTTTCTATAATCGCCACTGTATTGTTTTTCAGACTGCTATCTTACTGTTGCGTATTGATGACATTGTATCTGGTGTAAAGAAAGGGGATAAAGATTCCAGCACCCCTGCTGCTCCAAAGGCCCCTGAAAATCCAGAACCGGAACAATAAAATAGCTTCAATTACTATAATTTCACTACTCACACAAGCTTTACTTTTCTTTTCTTTTTTTTTTCTTTCCCCACTTCCAAATGTCATGCTTCACCCATTGTTTATTGGGTGGTTTTTGTGTGTTTTTCTTTTTGTTTTTGCCATGTTTGAATGCTTTGTCTATGTGAACTGTGGCTCCATTTGTATTGAATTTTCATCTGTATATCATTGGCCCTTCTCTTGGTCTGGGTCAAGCACTACATGTGCCACCAACTGTCATATGTGGATAATAAAACCAAAAGTACATAATACAGCTTTTTGTCCCCCTTTGTTCTTTCTTAACCTATGACTGGTATGAATAAAAAGTGAAGATTTTTCAATCTATAAAATCTTGGAATGTTATTAAACTTTTTTTTGAATGAGCTTTTATTAGATTTTCAAATTTTTCTTCAAAGTGGACTTGCATTAAGTGATTTTCAGCTGATAATTTTGTTTGTTGTGAGTAAATTTGTGCTTTCCAATTATATAAAATTTTATGGATATAATTTGAAATTTTTGAAAACTGAAAAATATTAATGCTTGTTCACATTGTTTGAAAGTTAATTTGATGTTTCTTAATTACTGTATGTAATGCAAAGAGAATCCAGATGAATGGGTGTTGCGTAAGGTGATCCTATAATTTTTTTTATTTGGGAAATGGTTTGGGCCAAGAACCTTTTAGCCTCTCCTCATCTACACAATGATTTAAACACTCTAACAAAATTTAAACAATAACTGTCAAACTTATAACCCAGGCATAACATGAATACAAAGTTTCTACCAAAAACTAGTAAGAAACAGAATAACACAATTATTTAAAAGAACAACAGATAAAAAAAAAAAGTTGAATTACTAAAACTACATGATAATATACTGTTATAGTAGGGGATAATGTTTTAACTTTAGTTGATATTTACTATTCAACCTCCTATCTTGCTAAATACTGTAGCAAAACACTCATTCTTTTACAGTTCATAATTGAACAACTGGAGTTAGCTTTATATAGAAGAGAACCCAATATATTTGTGCTACCCAAGAAAGACTTGCTATAAATAAATAGTATTGAAATTAATGGTTAATGACTGGCTATTTGGTAGATAGCAAGGAAGTGTTAAAGCTTTTCATTCAATAAAAACATAATTGTTAAATTTTAATGATCAAAATAATCTATAGTAAATCTTAGAACTAAACATAAATCTGTTTTGATATGCAGGGATTAGAATTCTCTGGTATTCCAGTTTTTGACATCATTTATGTGCTGATTCATCAATCTACCAAAATCTTGAAGTATGTTTGTTTTTTTTGTTTTTTTGCAGTAAATTTTATAAAAGTTTCTGCTATTAACAAAAATTAAATTCTTCAGTTTGATCTATTTAATATGTATATATTACATAAATCAAACATTTAAGAATTGAATATGATTTTTAATTTTAACTATGGAAAATTTTTTAGAAAAATTCGTAAGTTATACATTTGGCTATGATCTTTTTAATAAAACTAAGAAAAAAAATTAAATGTGCAAAATTCTGATTACATTTTTAAAATAGGGCATTGATAAAAATACATTTATACCTATGCTGCTGAGGACTTGAGATCGTAAAATAAAATTAAATAGGATGAGGAGTGTATGTACATAATGTTTTTCAAAAAATCTTTAAATTTATATATATATATATATATATATATATATATATATATATATATATATACATACCAAAAATTTTATTCATTTTCATTTAGTTTTTTAAAATTGAATATGCAATGCAAAATCCGTCTAGTTTTGTACTGATATAAGGACAGACGTTTAAAAATTTAAATTTTAAACAAGCATAACTTTCCATGAAAAGGTTACAAATAATTTTGTTAGATATTTTTTTAATCTTTTCAATGATATAAATATTTGAAAATAAGTGCTAGTTAAAAACTAGATAGATTTTGTGAAATACTTGCAGTTTATAATTTTAAAAATCTAAAATCCAGCTAATGAATTTACTGGGTGATTGGAGTTTTTGGTATCCTCCTCCTCAATCCTCATTCTTAGATATCCTAGTTCATTTTCAGATGAAAATAGAATATTTTTTTTCTCATAATCATAAAATATGCAAAATATTCTCATCGTGTATACCTCTTCAGAACTGTGTAGGTGAGAGTTCTCCAGTCTTTTTTTTTAAATTGCACTTGGCAAAATTTGCTTCATTATATTTTTTGTCATTGTAGTATTTGTTCCTTTCTCCATTTTTCAGCATGTCTTGCCTTTGATGTGTTCTGTCAGTATTAAATTGAACTGTGTCCATAGATAAAACAATAGAATCAAATCCAGTTCTTCCAAAACAAAAATAGATCACAAGTTCTCCATATCTTGGACCAATACAAAGACCTACAATCCAACTTTCCAGAAGTTGAACTCCATATTCAACATGTCAAACCTTACCTCATACTCCTGTCTGAAACTGATTTCAGTCAATCTATTCCAATGCAGGAATATATAATACCTGGCATATATATATAAATATAAAAACAAACCCTAAATCACAATGGGCTTGGGGCTAAAATCAAGACCTTAATAAAGAGGATTGATTTCCTATTAATGTGCTTCTGTGTGGTAATTGTTCATAATACATCATATTTATTATCTTTTATCTTCAGGATAATGGAGTTAGAATATTTAAATACCTGAGAAGATTGATGACATCCTTCAGCTAGCATTTCTATGTGTTCACCATGAGTTTTTAGTCCACTCAAGCAAAACTGATGAAGGTTAATACTATCATGACTTCTTAGTTGCATGTAAACTGACCCAAATCATAGACAAGCCGACTCGTGTTCCCAATATGGTAGGGTATCGTACAAATCTGTTAGACCTTTTTCTCTCCTGTCATAACAAATATTCCACAATGGTGTTACCTCCCTTGGTCTCTTCTGACCACTCACTGATACGTGTGAGGATTGATGTTAATCCAAAGGTCCCATTGATGTCCCATTTCCTAGAACAATTTTTCAGTACTCCATAGCTGACTGGGATAGTTTCAGATCTTTCATTGTATAATTCTTCTTAGCATTCTTCAAAAACAGTGACCATAACAGCCTCCCTCATTTCTGAATGGATTATCTTGAGCATGAAGTTTTATCCCTTATAATATGTATCCGCAATGGCTGAATAGTTAGCCTTGATTCATGCCTGAATGTACTGCTGCCATATTTTTCTATAACCACAACCATCTCTAGTTAAATTATGACAAAACAGTCTACCTTCTTTCTGATTTGTGTTACTAGGCAAACTTAACTTTCCCAGATCATTAGTGAATATCTATACAGTTTATGGATGCACCTTCAAAGATCAAGATGATCAGAGCCTGACAGCTGACCCAAGTCTAAATGCTCAATGTTGGGAAAGACTGATTTGTAACTTTCAAAAAAAATACTTCATTCCATCTATCCTGCTTTATCTTTACATGAATCAGATCAGACGCAAAATGGTGTATTGTCGCAATATTTGGAGTTGCCCAATCTTTATTTTTCAGACACTACTGAGATAATCATTTACACGACCTTGTAGATGATTGACTTCCCCACATTGCCATCCCTTTTTCATGGATGAAGTGTTGCTTGGCTATTTCTACTCTGTTTCTACTTCTATGGTAAATCTTCAGATGAGCTCCATATTTTTTTTTTTTTTTTCTAGTACTCCTAACTCAAACCTTTATGGCCAAGACCCACTTTGCTATGTCTACAGGGTTGAATCACCCTCATTTTCCAGCATATTCCTTTAGTAAGAAGGTCGTTTTACTCTGGAAACTTTGTACTTTTTTTGGTGCTCTCACTTAACTCCTTTTCTATTCACATACATGGTGTTAGCAGTGTAGATTGAGGGGATTCACATATCAAGCTTTATTGACGTTTCAAGAACCTTTTAAATGTAACACTTTATTGTGAATTACCTTTCACTTTAAAGTATTATTTAAAAGGATTTGTTTTCCTTTTGGAGTCCTAAAAGTATCACTACATTGTTTCAGAAAATTAGTACAATTGCTTTTTCAACTAAGTTGGGTTTTTTTGTTTAGTGTGTTTTTTTTTTTTTTTTCATGTTCAAAGGAGGTAAATCTGTTTTTATGATAGTCTTATTCAATTTTATTAAAAACGGTAATTTCTTAAATTCAATTTTATTTTCTTTATTTTTTTTTAAGAAAATTAATTTTACATTTGATAATTCTCCCTACAAGTTTTCACTTAACATGTTAATACTGAAGTTAATTTGATGAAACGGTCGAGATTTAATTGTCCCATAAATTTGAGTTGAATCAAAAGTAATATGATTTGACTATTAAAAAATCCTAGTATTAATGCTGAATGTTGTAATTTTTTTTTGTCAAACAATTTTTTTTTTTCAGCTTAAGCATAAAATGCAGCAATGCTTCTGTCATTAATCTATGAAAATCAAACATGGAGTTATGTTTATTAACAGCAAAGATAACATTGAAGGAAGGAAGAATATACAAAACAAATATTTATGTGCATTGCCTTAAGCAGTAGGTGGTTTAAATGAATTTCTGAAGTTACAAGGTAAAAATTTTTTACTTTAATCTGTCATGTTATTATGTCCATTTTTGACTATGCACTTAAAACATGATTCTTGCTTTCTGTAAGCCAGTGAAAAATGCTAAAATGTTTTAGAGAAAAAAGATAGCAGTCTGGCTAATAAGAAATGCTGTGAACAAACTGTTGTTACTAATATGTTTAAATGTCATATAATACATAAGCATGTATACTGTAATTAAGCAATAAAATTATAGGAAACATCCAAGCTGTTAACCAAACTACTAGCAGAATAGAAATAACAAAATTGGTGTAAATTATATTTATATACCTATTGTTATATTATACTTCATTATAGTAATTGTTACAATTCCAAAACATCTATGAAGGATTGTATTGTTTCAAGGGAAGCATAACTTGTAGCATAACTTACCAATTGATAGTTTAGG